CCCCCTGACCCCCTTGTATTCTGACCCAGAGCACTTCAGCCTGCCTTTCCTCTGACCCAGTGCTGCCTGTTGAGGATGTGAATTGTTCTTTGACATGAACTGCCACACCCGTCTTTCCTCCCTGTCAAGTCTCCCAACCTCTGGTATGAACCACATGACCAGCTTCATAGGAGCACAAGAGCTGTACACAGTTTATGTGGAGACCAGTTGCAATCTGAGACCTATGGCCCCTTGAGGCTCCAGATCCTTTCTACCCAAGAGAACATCCCCAAGCAGTGGGACTCGGGATGGGTTATAGGACCAGTTGGCCTGCTTCATCAGTAGCCTCTGATTCTAGTAGTGCTCTGAATATACTTTGTCTCAAGGCCACACCTAGGCCACTTCTGAATGGAGTAGCACTGGGATTGATAAATTCTGATTTGGTCCCTATTCCTGGCCTTGGGGATTGCCATGTGATTGCTGCCAGGCATTTCCATTCTCCCCCACTACAATGAAAATTTGTTTGTTAGCATTGAAGATGGGAGCTGGACCTTTGAGCCAGTTGATATGTTATAGATTTTGATTATTGTTGATCGTGGTGTTCCTGTGGAACATTAATTACCAAGGATCTGGGTTTGGGTTTAATGTGTGGTTTCTGAAGGTTACCTAGCCGTGGGGGATGGTGCTGCTGCAGGCTTGTGTCATGGACAATTCCAGCCAGGCAGTGATCTGGATTCTCCCTGGTTTTGTAGGTATTACTTTAAAAAAGTGAGTGATGAGTTTGACTGTGGAGTGGTCTTCGAGGAGGTGCGGGAGGATGATGCCATATTACCCATCTTTGAGGAGAAGATCATTGGGAAAGTTGAGAAGATTGATTAACCTCCAAGGCTCCAGTGATGCAAGGGAAAAAAGAAAGAAAGAGGGAGGTTTTGGGAATGAAGAAGATGGTCCAGAGCAGATGCTTGGGATGCTGCTGCACTGGTGCAGGGCCACCACCAGGGTCAAGGGAGGCACCTCAACTCCTCACAAGGATTTACGCAAGCTACATTTTGCCAGTGAGAGTTCTTGCACCACACATACCTTCCAGGAGGAATCCTGGTGTGGGCTTCTTCTCCCTACCGAATATTAAGTGTAATCTAGCATTGTACAGTTACGTTAGAAAATGTAATATGACCTTGTTTACTAAAGCTGCATATTTTTTATATGTTGTAATAAAAGGAAAATATTTCCAATGTCACAGTGCTCTTATGTAAATGTAAGACATACAGGTACTTCAGAGCTCACCCAAAGTGTACAGCCATCTGTCAAACACAGTGTGAATCTTTGCCTTCCCATTACCATTCCCCAATATCCTGAATGTGGGTGACTTTTAGCTGATGCTACCGTGTGTTCGGGGAGTAGAGAATGCCCTTTGGAAAATTCACTCAAGCTGCTGTTTCAGATGCTGATGTGAAGACCCTACTCCAGCTGGCTTATACAGGGTTTTAAAATCTGGCTGGGAGAAGGATTTTTTATGTCATAGTAGCAAATATAGTTTTCGTCATTTAACCATGCTTGTGTTTTAAGCTAACAGACCTACAAGAGTGGGGTTTTTTTTCTCTCTTTGGCCATAACTTTGAGCAAGTAGCCCCAAGAGGAGAGGATTCAGGTTGAGGAGCTCTTACCACAGTGATCTTCTCATAAAATCATCTACTGCAGTTGTTCGTTACTGAAAGCCAGTATTGACAAGCTGTTTCACACTGGGAATTCCACTTTTGTTCAGTGACTAGAGCCTTTTTGGTCCCATGAGCCTGTCTGAAAGTCCAGCTGCCATGGGAATATCATGGAAATGGTAATGTGGGATTCCAGATGGGAGCAGCAGGCATAGTACTGGAGGCATTCTTTGTGAAGTGCCACTTCACACTCACATTTCTTTGCACATTAGAGGCAATAACCCAAAGATTCTCCATGCAACCTGCTCCCAGCTGGAAGCCATTTCTGAGTGTGTACTTCACCGTAGGACCCTCAGATGTAATTAGCAGTAAATGAGAGTCCTTGATATAAGCTTGCTGCTTAAAACTCAAAATTTAGCATCTTACTGGCCACGTCTACATGAGACACTGACTGCATAGTAGCCCATGACTACTATGAGTAGCACTGTGTGGCAGGAAGCATGATGTGATGCTACTGCGCAACAGTCTCAGGCTACTGTGCAGTCAGCATCACAGAAAAGCCATTCAGCAGCGCTACTATTCAGTAACTCTGGTTACTGCACAGTCATTTAGTACTTGTTAGTCTGTTAGTTACTGCACAGTTAGTCTGCAAATGGTGAAAATTTGTCATGCCCAGGGGTGGAGTGTTGAACCTCAAAATGCTGAAACCTGAGTCTCTGTACAAGAAAATACCAAGAAAGAGCACCTGAAAGTATAACATTTAGAACAAAAATCTCCTCTCCATTCCACACTGAGAGTCCCCATAGTTGCATGGAAAGGAGAGAGATCTCAGCATGTGGCTGCTGCAGGATGATTGCTCCTTATAGTATGGCTGCCTTCCTGTTAAATCCTGACTCGTCTGAGAGGGGGCATTCAGCAGATACTGCGGCAAAGCCACTAATCCCTCTTCCAGCCTTTGGTTGTATTTCTCTGTGTGCCTGATTTACCTTAGTGCATCCATGTAGGACTGTTTAGCACCACTAGAAACTGTTCAGGAATCTCATGAAAGGGCATTTCCCCGAACATAGAAATGACTGCAGAGTTGCCTGGGTTCTTTGGGTTCCAGGACCCCTCTGTTTACAAAGTTGCAAGAATGCAGAGAGCTCATAACCTGAAGTGATTTATGGTTTAAATATGCTCCATACCAAATATGTGAGACAGCCCTGTCAAGAGGAGAGTTTAGTATGCAGTCCTGAGCCTAGTGTCTCAAACTGCACCTGCCTTCTTCCTACAGTTTTCCATAGACCTTCCCTTAATGATGTACTGAGCTGAACTCTATTAATCACCCACACTGAATATTTTCCCTGTGCCAATTAAGTTACCCAAACCCGACCCCCTTCTTTAGATAGCAGCCCAGGCCCTGGCTGCAAAGCAGTGGGCTTCTCTGTGCCACTTTATTTGCACGACAAGCTGGGACATGAGGGCATTCACATCAGCACTGATCTTGTCCACAGCTGTTGTTCTGTTATGTGTTCCCAATACTCTTGTTTTTGCTGCTGCTGCACCTGCTGGCTGCAGTGTTGCTCGAGTGCCAGCTGCCTGCCTGTCACCATGAGGACAGTAGGTGGTGATCTGGTGGGCAGACCTGTGTGCAGGGAGGTTTGTCTCTCAGTATATTGTAAATGTCACAGAGTGCCTTTGAACATAATTTTGTAACTTGCCTCTCACTATGTGAAGTCCAGCAAATCAGAATTTGTTTTCATCCAGGGAACTGCATTGCAAACATTTCTTCCTCTTTTTAAGTTCTGGTCATATTCTGTGTCTGGTGAGATTGTTAATGTACATGACAGTCACAGGTTTTGGGGTTTTTCCCTCCCATTTTCCCTTTTTTTCTAAAGGGTTCCACTGTAAATATGTACATTTTTTAAGCGCAGCATCAGCTGTCAGTGGCATGCCCACCGACGGTATCTCCTGAGCATCCTTGTGTGCTGACTTGTACAATTTTCTTTTAAAAGGTACTTGGATAATAATGAAATAAAATGCCAACATGCAAATAGCTGTTGTGGTCCTTCCTTCTCTGCAGACCTCAAATGTCTGGGCCATGGCTGGATTTGCACCAAGTGTCACCACGGAAAATTAAAAACTTGGAGGAGTTGGAAGACTAGAAGAAAGAAGAAATTTCACACATGCACAAACAAACACAAGTCTCAAAATGGTGGCCAACCACTTGTGGTTAAGAAATGAAAGATCCTTGAAATATCCAATCTATTCAAGAGATGACATTGATAATAAAATAGAAAACTAACAGTACTTTTATGCAGCCAAAGAGTATCCCCAAGTACACCCACTAGAAGAAGCTTTTGACACACTCCAAATAAAAATGTTTGCAATCAGCAAAAATATACCAGTAAAATAAAAACAGTGCAAATATAGCACAGAACATTCAGAACTGAATGAGACGCATGCTGCAGACCAACCTTAGCATTCAGATTACACTGAATCAAGAAGGCAAACACTGCCTGTCAAGCAGTGCAGTAAAAGGCATTCAGCCTACCAGATTTTGCAGCAGTGTTGCAAGCAAAATGGCTGCAGCTTCTCTAGTCCACAACGCAGTTTTTTTTGTCTGAGTTCAAAAAAAATCTCAGTACAGGACATGCCCTGTGTGCTTTACTTGGACTTTACGTGGAGATTGCAACTACGAGTGGCTCACCACCTTGGCTCGGGCTGGCTCACAGAACTAGTTATAGCCAATCCAACTTTTCACCACTTACAGAGCTGCTGGTTACCTGTACTGAAGTTTTCAAGCACATGTTGTTCAATCTTTGGACACTTTCCCCTTGATGTATGGGAAGCCATTCAGTCTAATAATTGCAGTTTGTCTGAGGGTTAACCTCATCTGGTGTATCCTTGAGGGCCCCCTCCCAAATGTCTGTTGAAAGACTGTCCATGAAAAAAACAGCCAGGGCAGGAAAATGCCTGGAGATGCTTGAGTTCAGAGTCTGGAGCTTTGGAGATGGGGTAAGGAGAAAAGGCAAAAGGACCAAGACTCACTACAGTCCCCATGGCAGCCTGTCCTCAGACACTCCCCAGAATGCATGATACTAGCAGCTGTTGCACTATGCGGGCATCAACTTCCACCTAGGGCAAGGATGTCTAGGGTCATCGCCCATCCAGGTACCAGCTTGTCTTGTTTAGCAGCCTTTTCTCCAGCTCAGTGAGCTTTGAAGTGAGCTGTTTGGAGCAGGTAAACGCTAGCTTGTGTTCCTGCCCAGCACTGCCAACACATGGCCGGTTCCTTGTATACATTATTTACTGAGCAGCAGTACATTTGTGTTGTGTAAAATATGTTTTATTTTCCTTGAAAATGCACAGCTTGAGGTCACCCTGGGTTGATACTCCCTCCAGCAGGCTCAGGGCTACAGCAGTCTGCCTCTGTCCTATAAAGTACAAAGTGGTACCCAGTGGGCCTTGCTTTCCTATGTCAATTTGTCTAGAAATGCGCAGTGTCCCTGGAGCTCTGGCACTGCCTTGGCAATAGGATGTGCAAATCAGCAGGTGCTCCCTCCCTTCTGCTCATTCCTTGCTAGTAACATTTTCCCTTTGTTCCTTGGTTTTGTGCTGAATAGTACATAGTATCACACTTGAGGCCAAAGTCCCCCAACCTCTGCTGCTCTGCTGGTTGCTCTGGTATATAAAGCAACTGGTATGCACACACTTCCCAGGTACTGTGTGGAGCCTGAGGGACAGGGGAACTGGTCTCTCTGGCAGCTGTGATAGACCCCTCCCCCATAGTATTGTGCACCCTCTTCAGCCTCCCCCTCCCCCATTGCTAGCAGTAGAACTCACTGGAGCCCCCAGAGGGTATACCATGGTTCCTAGGCCTCTGTTAACCCTGCAGTTGACCCAGGGAGGCACAGGAGGATGAACTTGGCCTTCACAGGTATCTACTTCCCCCAGCAGTTGGGCAAAGGTCCTGTCCACAGAAGGGCCTGGAGCAGAATTCAGTACATGGGTTGCTTCTAGATGAGGGCTGGGGGGTCCTCATCAGGGCAATGTGGACCAGATGGGAAATGGGACTTTTGCAGCAGGGGTAATGCTTCTGCCTCAGAACCAAGGCACCAAGAAGGGCGGGCCCCCCGCAGAGCTCCAGGATTCTCGTGTCTTTCACTTCGGTGGCTGCTGTGAGTGAGTCTAAGGAGCCAACTCCTTGGCCAGATCAGCCTCTTAGCAGGCTCTGGTTTGCACAGTTAGCAGTAATCTGAGCAGTATTAACGTCCTGCTGCCAGCCATGTCTGTGGAAGGCTGACCCCCAGACATGGCTACAAGGCAAAGAACTGATGTCTGCCGTAGCTGCTGGTTTTGGTGAGCTCATCCGCAGGCATCTCCCTAGGCTGCCTTGTCCTGTGCATGTATATAGGAAGCTATGCCTCGGCAGCCAGTGCTTATCAGGTCAGAGGTGTGTTGTCTCACACATGCCACATTCCCCTGAATAGGACACACACTTAGTTTTCAGAAGGCAGAATTAAGAAAAAAAAAGCTTTTTCACTGACTAAAAAAAAAACAAACCTAACTTCCCTGCCCAGGATTAACACAGCATCTGCCCTCTCAGGTGCTCCTGCTGCAGCCACCATGATGGCCAGTAGTGGCAATACCAGCAGTTGCAGTAGGAGACCAACAACCTGTGGCTGCTGCGTTAACCCCCTAGCTGCAAGCTGACTGTGGACACTTGATCCCTCAGCTATAGTAGCAGCAGCAGCACCCCAGGGTGTTTGTGCCCGAAAGCTCACAAAGCACAATTTTTCCAACTATTTAGTTGGTCTAAAAAAAGATACCACATCTACCCAAAGAACGTTGTCTCCCTGTAACAAGTAAGTACTGACGAGACACCCTCAAGCTGCTGCAGAGGTAGCTGCTGGGAAGCCATTGTCCACAGCCAGCCAGCTCCCCCAGGGAGCTCCCATATACTTACTGTAATGCCCCCTGTCCAACATATGCAGGGTTACTTTCCCTTCTTCCCCCTGTCCCCCTTGCCCTTCCCCGTAGTATTTCACTTTGGGACAGGAGCAGTGCAGTGAGCACATGGGGCTCCACAGCTGCTGGATATATTTCCTGGCTTAATATCCATACCGCAATTTCCAGTAGCTAATTTTCAGCAAAGAGATGCATGTGGTATGTGAAAAAATACAGTATTAGCCTCCTGAGGAACAGCACCAATCTGTGCAGTGCATGCCCATCCACAGCATGACCAAGTTTTATTCTGCTCAGCAAACCAGTTAACTCATAGGCTGAATGACACAGAGCTCTTCTTGCTGGGATGTGTCTTTTAGAAATACACAGTTACCTATATTGCTTGTCTGCCTGCCTTCTTCAGCGGCTGAACCAAACAAACAACCAAAAAGCCCAGCCCCCCCCCAGATAAATAAATAAATAAAAGCTGTTTTGCAGTGACCCCAGAATACTCTTTTTAGCATACTGGGGGAAAAAACCTGGATTAAAAAGCAAGGAAATCCTTCCCTCCACACAGCACCACCTTACTGTGCTTTGGCCCATGTTTAACCCCACCAAATAAAAAGCAGCAGGATGTAGGTACAGCACAGCTTGGTAGCTGCATCAGGCCCAGCTACAAAAATCTAGGGGCCTGGAGCCCTTGGGTACCTCCGCAAGGAGGCAGCAGCTAAGCAGGAGCAGGAGGGGTTGGGGCTAAGTGCTGGTTTAGGTGCCTTAAATGGGCAGCTATCAGGCACATAAGTGCCTTTGTGGCTCTAGCCTGTGCTGCCACCTCTAGTCCAGGCTGACATCGTGAGCCACTGCAGAAAAAGAAGGCAGCAGCAAAGCCCGCCAAAGTGCAGGCTGCTTTAGAGGCTACATTCCTCCCACCCTGGGAACTAATACACCTTCCATTCAACTGGCTCAAGGGCTGCTAGCTATCCCCAAGACTCCTCTCTGCTGCTCTAGCTCCCTGAGGGAGCCATAGGCCAGGAGAAGGAAAGTCACAGACCACTGAGCTGTGGATGGCACTACAGGCTGGTGCCATATTCCACTGGAACCAATCCTGCTAGCTGTGTGTTGCCTCTACCACTGCAGCAAATGCTTGCTCTCATGCCCAGGGCCTGGCCTTCCCAGCTCTGTTCATGGTCACAGCACCTTCTAGCTGTCAGAGCAGCACTCTGCAAGTCCTTCTCTTCCCTCCCCAACTCTTCTGAGAGTTTTGTTACCATCTCTCAGCTCAGAACCATCTCCCTCCCAGCAGTGCCTGGTTAGGCTGGGCTGCACTGCCTCCCTGGATGGTTTAACTGTTCAGTGTGGGGTTCCCAGTCTGTCCCATCCTCTTCCTGGACTCTGTCAATGTCTGAGCCCACTTGCTCTCAAGTTGCCCAGCTTCTCTGCTACTGTTGCCAGACTCCCCAATTTCATCTCCAGCTGTGTATCAGATGTTTTCCTTCAGCTCCTGCTCACTGGAGTCCAGTGAGCCTGTGACCATCTTTGCTTGCTTTTAACACATTGGGTTCCAGCCCACAGGCAACAGAGAAATGTGTAAGTATGACCTGACAAACCAAATCAGAAGACTGATACAGAGACCCAGCACTGATTGTTTAAATCTGTGTTATTTTAGAGCTAGTCTCATGATTTTGGAGGCATGACTCAGTGTAGGCATTTGGGGATGGCAACATTGTCTCATTCCCCATAGGCATCACAGGGCACAGGCCTTTTGAGTACTAGTACCAGTCTAGGTGCCAAGCTCAGCTCCCTGAGGTTGCTTGCCTCTTATTCCTGGCCCAAGTCTGGCTCACAGTGCTGGAAGGCATGCACCATCAATGATGTAGCAGGGGCAGAGACTGGAGAAAACAGCACCATGCAGGGAGGCACAACTCCCTGAAACCTGATCCCCAGACCTGCTGCGCCTAGGCCTGAAAAGGGAAAGAGGCACCAGGCAGCATGCAGCAGGATCTTCCCCACAGACTCCATCCCTTGGCACAAAGAACAAAAGGCCAGGCCTCGGGGGACACAGTGATGGGGTGAGTTAAGCCCTAGTGCTGTAGTCCATGCCCATGGGGCAAGCTCTGTTTCTAGGTGCCATGAACTGGGCTGGTGGTTTTCCCAGCCAGATGAGCAGGATGTGGAGGTGGGGGGTTATAATTCATCTCTGGCTTCAGTGGCATCTGATGGACTTGTCCCATTTACATCCTCAGGGGACTCAACCACCTGGAGAAGAGTGGAATGATTACTATGGAAACCCCCACCCCAATGGAAGACAGACCAATAGGGCCAGGGTAGATGCTGTAAGGTCCATGCATACTAGGAAGGTGCATATGAGAACCTGGTACATGCTGCCTCTTACTCTCATCATGTGGGGCGGGGCAGGGCGGGGCAGGGCAGGGCAGGGCGTGTGTGTGTGTGTGTGTGTGTGTGTGTGTGTGTGTGTGTGTGTGTGTG